CCCAGTGATTTCTTCTACCACCTTGAGTCTTCCTCTCACTCCTTAATTTCTCACCTTGTCCGTCCCAACCAAAACGCGTTTCCATATTTATATTTGACGACGTGAGCTTGGGCCGCCATCTGAACCCAGTGGGGCTGGTCTCACTCCACGGGTCGGCCGCTATTCCCTTCTTGTCAGAATTCTGGCCCCCGTCGAAAGAGACAACTGTTAAACGCGTATACGATCAAAATAGAAGGAGGCAGCAGGAACATTTGAATTCGATTTAACTTTTAGATTATCGCTTGACAACCAGCGTTCATTTTTGTCGGCGATGCGGTCCGCACCGTTGACATGTGTGAGTACTGTGAGGGAACGTAAAAGTTTTGCGGGGGAAAGACTTGCCCAGCTCGCACGGCGACTGGAGTGCCTCGGAAAATGTTTGTAAACGCCAATAAAAAATAAATGTTTTACCACCTCCAGGTCACTTTAAACTCGGGGTCTGGGAGAAATCAGGCCAAATTGGGCCACCTTGAGGCACATCGAGTTGGCTGTCCCGCGGTCTCTAGGTACAAGTTGCTTACTTATGCCGGTATCGATCCAGTCGTCAAAGGTTTGCGGGTCATAATTCGATTCGACATTCGATCATTTTTCCCTCTTTTTCTCCACTACGTGCGAGGTATACGAATTTGAAAATACAACGATCAGTTAAGTCCGTTCGTGTGCGGGGTCCCTGATCGATTGTTGCATCGCGGGACCGCGAGAGATGGTTGACGGCTTGGGGAAGCCTTCATCCAGCAGTGGATAGATCATGGCCGATGATATTATATAGGGCTGACGTACTAGTCGAGAGCAGTTGGTTATTGAAATATTGGGTTGCTTTGAATCTGGTGTTGGAAAATAATTACCTCTTTGTATTGCACCTGCAGTTACTTTTGGAATGAAATCTTGAGAATGACTGAGTGACCGAATCTTCAAGAGTTAATGCACAGGACAGCTGAAAAACTGTCACTTAATGTGTGGCACGCAGATATGTAAGTATACACCTTCCCAAGTGTGTGGGAATGTGTGTTAGTGTGTGGGTGCATTGGTATGCTGGGTATACGTGTGGGCATGTGCTCTTGTTGTCTGCCGGATAGATAGGGCTGAACGGGTATGGCATGAGCTCGAGAAGAGATGAACTTATGCGGTTCCAGAAGGATGTGGAGCTGATTGGACTTGTATATATGTAGAACTTCTTTCGCACCATGCATAGCCAACCGTGTGCTAATCGCACGTGCGACTTGCCGATGACTGGTACCAGCAGTGTCAATGTCAGCCTCTGCGGAGGAGGTTTTTAAAGAGTCGCCCTCCAGCAACAATGGGAGGGCAGAGGAGCGACGCTCACAACAGCGAGCGGAGCGCCGGGTGGCTGAAGCGCTGAGAGTTGGCGCAGTGGGGAGCACAGTTGGTGCATCTGCCAGCCATCTCAGTCAATCAGCCCATAGAACCCAGGTCTGTCTTGTGACCTCCCAGCAAGCCCTTGACACTTCACGTGGTCTCAAAGTGCATCTCAAAGAGCACCGAACATGGCACAAGCGCCGTGGTGACATCACCGCCATTTAGTGGTGAATGGCGGTCGTTGTTGTTGAGTATATATTATTGTGGGTACGTGTGGACATGAGTTTGCGTGTGGATATGTGTGTTATACACGTGTATGTTTCTTAATATGTATGCTAGTGTGTGGGCACGTGTCTTGGCATGTGTGTTCATTGATTATGTTTTCATTTGATTTATTATTTTCAATGTCTGTGATATCATAAAGAGGCCATGGCTTTGAGTTGTTCTTTGTGCTTCTGGGGTCCCAGACCCTCAGCTTATGATCTTTAAGGACTTTCATTGTGAACATGCCCTTGTAAAGTTTCGTGGCCACGAGTCCAAGCCATTTTCTGTTCACCTTGGGGTGCGACATGGATTGTCCTCTGGACCCAACACTACTTGACCAATTATTTTGACGAACGTTCTTGACGATGTTTTGATGGCTGTACCAGAGGGATATCCATATGAAGCAGATACAAGGAGTTCCCATACTTGGGCAGTGAGTGTGCGCATACCCAGCTCCGCTTTTGTGGCAGAGGTCTCACTGAGCGGCATTATTCACTCACCGTGTACATGGAAGCAGCCTGGCATGTCCACGCCCCATAAAGCTGCAGCTTAAACTTATTTTTTAAATAATATATTTTAAATTATATTTTTTAACCAGGTCAGGCCCACTGAGCTATATAGCTCTTTGACCTGGCTATCACAAATGATAGCTCAACGAAGTGGGCTTATCGCGTGGAAATGTATAGCAGCCAAATACTCTTAAACGCGTGTTTCTAAATGTGGAGGGAAAAACCAGAGGACCCGGAGAAAAATCCACGCAACCACGGGGAAAGAGAGCAACGCAAACTCCAAATATATAACAGGCGTCAGGGTTGGGATTGAACCCACGACCTCATGCATACCAGGCGAGGTAGTTAACATCTCCTAGCCACCGTGGTGCCCAAAGCTGTGGATCTTCTCAGAAACTATCATGGCCCCTCTGCTAAATGTTGATTTAAAGCTTTCGTGACTGCAGGGATGCATATTCTTGGTTCTTTCGGTAAAGTCACGTAGAAGGGAAACAATAAAATAATACAAATATAAAACAATACAATTCTCACGACGTTTCGACTGCAACACAAGCAATCATCATCAGGTGTGAAAACCACAACAAGAAAATTTGAAAAAGTGGTTTTTCACACCTGATGATGAATGCTTGTGTTGCAATCGAAACGTAGTGAGAATTTTATTGTTTTATATTTTCATTATTTTATTGTTTCCCTTCTACGTGACTTTACCGAAAGAACCAATAATATTGGCCTCTCTGCTATTGCGAAACATGGGCCCCTTCACAGGGCCATCTGCCCCGGCTTGAAACATTCAGACTGACCTGTTTGTGATCTATCCTGGGTTTAACCAGGTTGGATTGTGAGGAGCTCACAGATTCTTTAAATATCTGGATACAGTCCCATCAGGGAGCTCCTCTGGCAGGCAAGGTTGCGTTGGCTGGGTCATGAAGCCCCGCATGCCCAAAGCAGCTTCTGTGTGACTGGATAGAGCGGGATAAATGGGCACGGCACGGGCTAGAGAAGAGATGGGCTGATGAGGTACAGAAGTATTTAAAGCTGAGTTGACTCTGCGATGACTGCTAACCAGTGGAGGAGGTATGTAAAGGATTCTAACGGGCAGTAGAAGGCAGTCGCTCTCCAATCAGTAACGACGGACGGAGGAGCAACACTCACAACAACGAGCACAGTGGCAGGCGGCTAAAGCACAAGCAACCTGGCACAGTGGGGGAGCACCACACAGGTGCTGCATCTGCCACTCGTCTCGTCGAGCTACCCTAGAGCAGCTGCGTCTAGCTACGCGAGCTTGTGCCAGTGAGCCTTTGACACGTGTTGGGTTAGCGTGCGGGAGGGCGTAGGAGTGTTTGTTTCTGCTTGGGCTTGCATATTTGGATGTGTGCGTGGGTTGCAGTAGCGTGCTAATTGTGTCCGTGGAAGGGATGGTGGAGAGGTGGGGTTTTTTTTGTAGGGTCTGTGTTATTGTGTGTATACGTGTGTGTGTATGTGTTTGTCTGTGTGTGTGTGTGGGGAGCGGTGGCGTAGCGGTTAGCACGCTGCGTTACAAACCCGGCCACCCGAGTTCGATTCCCGCTCACGGCTAACACCGGTGACGATTGTCTGAATCGGTTCTGGGCATCCCCTAGGTCGACTCAGCTTCAAATGAGTACCTGGTGCGGTGTGTAGTAAACATCGCCACTGCGAAGACAAAGGCGGCCTGGCGTGGTGCTGGCCACCCACCCCCTCGTGTGCCGTGCCGGCATTCATAGGTGTTCGGTAACAGCACTTGCCCCTACAGTCTGTTAAGGCTATACGGGGGACCTTTGTCTTTGTGATTATGTCCGCAAGCTTATTGTGTGCTTATGTGTCTTTTTCTGTTTGTGTGTGCGCCTTTATTTACATTTTTGTTCATGTGTGTGTTAATGTGTGTCTGTGCACTTGTACAGGCATATGTATTATTTGAGTGTGGTATTGTGTGGTTTGAGTGTGTGTACGTATTGTATGTTAGTGTATGTCTTTGTTTTATAGTGGCCAGGTGCCTTTGGGAAGAAAACGATGACGTTTAATCATCAAGTTAATGTGTAAGTTACATAGAATAATGGTCATGTTTGCTCTGGTATGCAGTTATAGTAAGGTGACATGAGGTTAGACTAAAATCGCTATTTAAGATTGTTTAAGCCCAGGCTTAAAATATATTATCTCGTCCTGGGAACGTTGTACGTGTCGTTTTCACGTTTACGTTGTACATTGTATGTGTAGTTATAACGTGTACGTTGTACGTGTAGTTATAACGTGTACGTTGTATGTGTAGTTATAACGTGTACGTTGTACGTGTAGTTATAACGTGTACGTTGTACGTGTGGTTATGACGTGTACGTTGTACGTGTGGTTATGACGTGTACGTTGTACGTGTGGTTATGACGTGTACGTTGTACGTGTGGTTATGACGTGTACGTTGTACGTGTGGTTATAACGTGTACGTTGTACGTGTGGTTATAACGTGTACATGTACGTTGTACGTGTGGTTAGAAACTTCATATTTTCTGAATCGTTCTTGGGGATCTCCCCTCTTCACCAAACCCCGCATTGACCAGTGCGGTGAAGTATGCTCAAACACCCCCCAACACTGCCGCACCACGAAGGGGGGGGGGGGCGTTTCTAAGCAGTGGCATGACAAAGGGGCTGTAATTGATTACGATCTTTTGAAAATCCATATAAAAATTTAAATTTACTTTTTTCAATTCATTTCGGAGAGACGCCCCTTTCGGAGAGACGCCTCTTTTGGAGAGACGCCCGTGGGAGTTTGTGCAGTGACGCGACCAGCAAATGGTGACGTTTTTGAGATTCGCTTCACACATTCCATGCGGTCGCGCGTGACCGCTATCCCTTCTCTGATAGGTCCGCGGAACTCCCCTTCCTCGTCTCGGGCGCGACTTTAAGCGAGCAGTGACTTAGAGATCCGTGTCCCAAGCGTGAGAGCCACGCGGCAGCTTCAGGTGAGGCCCAATTGACGGCTGGCGAGTGGGGTTAGCGACGCGTCCTGCGGTTCTCGATGAACTCTGCGGTTCGTGACGCGCGCTCTTTGGTTCATGGAGGCGCTCTACTTTTCGCGATGCGCTCCATGGTCCACACTGCAGTCTGCGGTTTTAAGAAGGGTGTCCACGGTTTGCGATGCGATCTTTGGTTCGCGTAGCGCCCTACGGCTCGCGATGCTGTCTACGGTTCGCGATGCGCCCCACGGTTCACGATGAACTCTCTACGTTTCAACGATGCGCTCTGCGGTTCGCAATGCGCCCCACAAGTTCACCTTTCGCAATGAATTCGACGTTTCGCGATGCGCTGCTCCACGGTTGGCGATTCTCTCTGCACTTTGCCCGGTGTTCCGCGGCCGCATTCCCGGGCTTCCTTTGATCGGCTGCCACTGGTGAAGGTGGCGACCCAGACCCGGCACCGTGGGCTGTGCGGATTCGACCGAGTGCGCCCGGTGGTGTTTTTTGGGGAAGGTTGCCACCGGGTGGTTTGGTGTTTGGTGTCCGATATGCGGTGGAGTAGTCACGATTGACGCGCGTCAATCCACTGCCGGATGAGGGCCTCGCCGCACCTTGTGCGGCCGACATCTGTGAAACCTACTGGGCGTCTGTGAAAAAGAGCTTTGCGGCTCATAGGATTCTTCTGGGATGAATAGAGATTCCGGATCACGTGACGTGGGATGGGGGGGGGTGATGTGACCGTGGCTTCATCATTTGCTGGTCAGTGCCTGCCGGGTTGCTGATGGCTGGGCAGCATAGAAATACAATTTAACGCTTAATTTGTTTCTGCACTTTGTTCTGATGACCACTACAGCCCTCCGCAGCTGCCTGTGACAACATCCAGAATCAGAATCTGTATTTATTCTGGAGGAATCCGATGAGCTTATATAAAAGCATCTCTTTTCCACAGCTCCATTACCTGATCAGCTCCCGAGTTCCGAGTGAGATTGGGGCGCATTCTGGGGGATTTTGGTCGTTGGCAGCAAAAGCTTCGCCGACTTTGAAGAATCTTTTTTTTTTGTTCCGACTGCTCCTGTTGCTGCTGCACGCCGAACGGTTTGGCCACTGAGCGAAAGTTTGCCAAACCAGAGGGCCTGGAGAAAACCCACTTAGTGTACGAGGGAGATAATGCTTAAAAAAAAACTGCCCCGCAGATAAGATCGGAGGATTCCGCGGCCGTACCGATGTCGCCTGGCTGGCCGTTGAATTCTTTAAGTAATTCCGTAGGGTTTTACGACCGTATCTGAAAAATGCTGCTATCAATTTCCACACGACGATAAGCCGATCATTTGCGGCCAGGCCGTTTCTAAAAAAGAGCTGTGTGTAGCTAAGTGGGCCTTGGTAAAATACAAAAAATACTTTCTCTTTAAATTGTTTAGTTCTATATATATGTTGAACTTCTTTCATACCGTACATAGCCAATCGTGCTAATGGAAGGTGCGGGGGAAGGACGACAAATTCAACACAAAAAACAGTTGTAGAGAAATGAGTTTTCAATCTCGATGATGATTTCAAAGGGCATAGCTCCAGCGGCTTCTAATATCGGTAGGAAGAGCGTTTCAGATAGCCGAAAAAGCGTATCCGAAAGCGGGCGAGCATAGCCGGAGCTCGCTTGATGGTTTGTGTTCCTTATAACGAGATCAGCAAGGTATTGTGGTTCATTTGTGGCAAGCACTTGGTGCGTAATGAGTGCGAGGCGCATTCAGATGCAGCCGTGCCAACTCAATGCTTTGAAAGCCCGAGGCACCCGGTTCACTTCCTCAGCAGCAGTTTAATAATGAAATAGAAAATTGATAAACAGACCGAAAGGTGCTTTCCGTGTGTGTGTGTGGGCAGCGATGGTGCTTTGAATAGTACGCTGCGCTACGGAACTGGTGACCTGAGTTATGATATCCGCTCACGAGCAATAACAGTGGCGGATAATCGAACCGGTCTAGGGCCTCCTCTAGGTCGACTTGGTCTTTGGCGAGTAGCTGGCGCAGCGTGTAAACATCAGTGCTGGGGAGACAAAGGCGGCCGGTCGTGGTGTTGACCACCCACCTCCTTGTGTGCTGTCCCGGTCTTCATAGGTGCGACTCACTAACACATTCCTTCTTGCCCTCCCCCCCTTCTCCTCTGCCCCGTCCTTCTCCCCTCCCCCAACTCCATCCTCCTTGTCGCTGTCGTGGCCCGCAGCTGTGGCAGGCCATGTGCGAAGCTCCTGAATGGCGGCCCCATGCCGCCTGGAGCCCTGGTCCGACGACCACCACCTCCGCCAAAAACGCCGCCGCCGCCGCCGCCTCCTCCACCTCCTCCACCTCCTCCTCCACTGGCGCCGCCTCCTCCGCTTCTCCCGCAAGCCCGGACGACACCCGGGGAGCGGCCCGGATCGACGCCGTGCTGCGCCGCGCGAGCGAGTGGGTGCAGGCAGTAGGCGACGGGGAGGAGCACGAGGCCCTGGTGGAGCAGCTCCAGGAGGCCATGATGCAAGTGTGCCGAATCAAGGTACCGGACTCGCGCGTTGGCGCCCAGAAGGACGCTCTTCCTCTCGTTCACGGGTTTTCCTGGAGCGGAGTGTGGAATGTGGAATATATTCATGTTTTCCTGGAGTGGAGTGTGGAATGTGTTCACGTTTTTTCTGGAGTGGAGTGTGGAATGTGGAATATATTCATGTTTTCCTGGAGTGGAGTGTGGAATGTGTTCACGTTTTTTCTGGAGTGGAGTGTGGAATGTGGAATATATTCATGTTTTCCTGGAGTGGAGTGTGGAATGTGTTCACGTTTTTTCTGGAGTGGAGTGTGGAATGTGGAATATATTCATGTTTTCCTGGAGTGGAGTGTGGAATGTGTTCACGTTTTTTCTGGAGTGGAGTGTGGAATGTGGAATATATTCATGTTTTCCTGGAGTGGAGTGTGGAATGTGTTCACGTTTTTTCTGGAGTGCAGTGTGGAATGTGGAATATATTCATGTTTTCCTGGAGTGGAGTGTGGAATGTGTTCACGTTTTTTCTGGAGTGGAGTGTGGAATGTGGAATATATTCATGTTTTCCTGGAGTGGAGTGTGGAATGTGTTCACGTTTTTTCTGGAGTGGAGTGTGGAATGTGGAATATATTCATGTTTTCCTGGAGTGGAGTGTGGAATGTGTTCACGTTTTTTCTGGAGTGGAGTGTGGAATGTGGAATATATTCATGTTTTCCTGGAGTGGAGTGTGGAATGTGTTCACGTTTTTTTCTGGAGTGGAGTGTGGAATGTGTTCACGTTTTCCTGGAGTGGAGTGTGGAATGTGTTCACGTTTTTTGTGGAGTGGAGTGTGGAATGTGGAATGTGATCACGTTTTTTGCGTGGAATGTGTTCACGTTTTTTCTGGAGTGGAGTGTGAAATGTGTTCACGGGTTTTCCTGGAGTGGAATGTGGAATGTGTTCACGTTTTTTCTGGAGTGGAGTGTGGAATGTGGAATATATTCATGTTTTCCTGGAGTGGAGTGTGGAATGTGTTCACGTTTTTTCTGGAGTGGAGTGTGGAATGTGTTCACGTTTTCCTGGAGTGGAGTGTGGAATGTGTTCACGTTTTTTCTGGAGTGGAGTGTGGAATGTGTTCACGTTTTCCTGGAGTGGAGTGTGGAATGTGTTCACGTTTTTTGTGGAGTGGAGTATGGAATGTGGAATGTGATCACGTTTTTTGCGTGGAATGTGTTCACGTTTTTTCTGGAGTGGAGTGTGAAATGTGTTCACGGGTTTTCCTGGAGTGGAATGTGTTCACGTTTTTTCTGGAGTGGAATGTGGAATGTGTTCACGTTTTTTCTGGAGTGGAGTGTGGAATGTGTTCACGGGTTTTCCTGGAGTGGAGTGTGGAATGTGTTCACGTTTTTTCTGGAGTGGAGTGTGGAATGTGTTCACGTTTTTCCTGGAGTGGAATATGGAATGTTTTCCTGGAGAGGGATACTCTTGCCGCTCACCTACAGCATGGTTCCCTCCCTTGTCTCCCCCTATTAAACCGAAACGCAGTGCTTACTTGCACCTGTGCCTAACTTTATGTCTGGAAGTTACCAATCCGCTCCAGCAGTGATGGTCGTTGCTGTTCATGCGGTTGTCGTTGCTGTTGCCGTGTTTGCCTGTACCCGCGCCGATGGCCGTGGGCGTTGCCATCACGGTTGCTGTGGTGACGGTCATAGATGCTGCGGTGCCGGTGGTCACGGTGGTTGTAGTTGCGCTTGTGGGGGGCGGTGACGTAGCAGTTAGCATGCCGCCCTACGAACCCAGTGACCCGAATTCGATTGCCGCTCACGGCCAACACCAGCTGGCAATTGTCTTAAGCTGTCCTGGGCCTCCCCGAGGTCGACTCGGCCTTCATAGGTGCTACTCGCTAACAGCACTTGCCCCAACAGTCTGTTAACGCTACACGGGGGATCTGTGTCTTTGTAGTTGTCATCGTGGCGGCCGTTGTGGTTGTTGTCATGGTTGACGGGGGGGGGTTGTCGATTTCTGCGGTAAAACCGCCGTGGTTATTTGTGGTTGCTGCTGATGCTGCCGTTGTGGTTCTTGCTCTGGTTGTGGCAGACGGAGGGGAGCGAGTGCCTGCGGGCCCAGCGGAGCGACGCCGTCAGCTCCCTCTTCTCCGTGCAGGAGGTGGTGGAGGCGTGGGCGGTGGAGGCGCCCCCCGTGGAACCTGAAGGGCCCCCCCTCGCAGAGCTCAACAAGATCACGGGTAGAGCCCCCGCCCCGGCCCCCCCAACCCACCACTTCCCCCCCACTCCTTCCCCCCCCCCCCCCAGTGGCACGCACAAGCGCTCTTACCCTCACCCCAAAGACAAAGATCCCCCGTATAGCCATTACAGAACTATTGGGGCAAGTGCTGTTAGCGAGCACCTACGAACGCTGGCACGGCACACGAGGGGGTGGGTGGCCAGCACCACGCCCGGCCGCCTTTGTTTTCAAAGTGCTAATGTTTACACACCGCACCAAGGGACTCATTTGAGAGTAGGGGAGGCCCAGGGCCGGTTCAGATAATCGTCACTGGTGTTGGTGGCTGTGTGCGGGAATTGAAATCAGAAATCGCCGGGTTCATAACGCAGCGCGCTAACCACTACTCCGCTACCGCTACCCCTAACACACATTGTATGTATGTTGAACTTTGTTTGCACTGTACGTAGCCAACCGTGCTTATCTGAGGTGTTGGAAGGACGACAAACTAAACTAAAAAAGTAATTCTACAGAAATTAGTTTTCAATTTAGAAATGAGTTTGCAATTTACGAATGATTAATATATGAAACACTCTGCTGACACAACAACAAAAACAACCACCGCCATTTTCCATCAAGTGGCGGTGCTGTCACCAGCACAGCGCTTGTGCCAGGCTATGTGCACTTTTAAGTCCACGTTAGGTGTCGGAACGCCCGCTGGCAGGAGGTCACGGGACAGGCCCAGGTGCCACGGGTTGACCGACTGAGATGACAGTTCCATGCACCACCTGTGCCCCCTACTGTCCGTTGACGTGCACACGCGCACGCCCACACGCACCCCCCACAATCCTCACCTCTCCCCCCGCCACCCCAGAGGAGCTGAGCGAGCGCCGCACCGACGTGCTGCTCTCCCTGCTGAGCGGCGAGCTCAGCTTGTGCCCGGCCCGTGCTCGCCGCCTCGCCTCCGCGCTCTCCTCCCTCCTCCTGCGCCTCGACTCGGTGGAGGCGCGGGGCCGTCAGGACGTGCGGCGTCGCCGGCGCGCCGCCGTCGCCCGCACCGAACTCCTGCTGCGCCAGGTGGAGCCGTGGACTCGCGGCTGCGCTGGCCACGACCCCGGCGACGGGGCCCCACGTGACCCCCTGCTGGGTCACCGCGCCCTGCCGGAGATCCGCGACGTCGCCGCCGAGGCCGAGGACATCAAGCGGCTGCTGTTGGCGCTTCCGATGAGGACGGCGGTGGCGGCGGCGGCGGCGGCGGCGGCGGCGGGAGTCGTAGCCGACGGTGGGCCGCGTCCGCCGAGGTTCCGGCGCGCTCGTCGCCGACGCCTGTCCAACGGGTCGAAGGCTCGCGGCAAACACGCCGGAGGTTTGGCCACGGGTGGCGGGGAGGTGGATGACGAGGCGGAGGAGGACGACGAGGAGGAGGAGGAGGAAACGGAGGAGGAGGAGGAGCGGGGGGAGACGGAAGAACGGGCGGAGGAGGCGGGGGAGGAGGACGACGACGAGGGTGAGGAGGAGCGGCTCCTCCCGCGGGCCGAGCGCCGCCTGCTGGCGCTCATGGAGCGGTTGGACCGCGTGGAGAGCGGGCGCAACCCGTACGTGCGGCAGGGCCGGCGGCGCGCCGTGCTATCGGTGCAGGGGCTGCTGGCGCACCTGGAGCTGCGGCGAGCCGTGGCCGAGGGGAGGGCCAGGCAGGTGGCGGCGCCGGCGGCGGTGGGAGAAGACGGACGTTCGTCGCCCGTGTTGCCCCTGCACCCGGCGGAGAGGGCGATACTGCAGGTGACTCCTGGCCCGCCCAGCCCCGGGGTCCCTGGTCTCGCCGAGGGCAGAGGGGAACGTTCGGATGCCGTTGGCGGGGCCACCCGTTCGCGCGCACACATCGACGTTATCCAATTACAAACGCGACAGATGATTAGGGCTCGCCGTTACTTCTTAGCCGCGCCGCAATTAGAAACACGCAGGTGCCAACTTGGGGGAGTGTGGTGAGAATGTGGTTGGGTGGGTGAGCGGGTGTAAGTGAGGGGGCGCCGCGGTGGCGAGATGTTAACGACCTCGCCTGGTATGCAGAAGGTCGTGGGTTCGATCCCAACCCCGACTCGTGTGTCTCTCTCTCCCCGTGGTCGCTTGTATTTTTCTCCGTGACCTTCGGGCTTTCCCGCCACATTTAGAATCAACATCTCACGCGTTTTAGGGTATTTTGTGAATATAAATTTCCACGTGAAAAGCCACTTCATTGGACTATTATTTGTGGCGAGGTCGCTTCTGAAAAACAGCTATACGTAGGTCAGCGGACGTTACCTGGTAAAGTAAAATAGTTACGTTTAATAGTTCAGTAGAGTGTGTTGTTGTGACCAACAGTGGTGGTGGTTGAAGACAGCGCAGATGGTTATATAGGGCGATCTTTGTCCTGGATTTGTGTATGGGTGTAGGGGGGGGGGGGCGGTGGTGTAGCGGTTAGTGCGCTGCACTACGAAACCGGCGACCCGAGTTTGATTCCCGCTTATGGCCAACACACAGTGACGATGATTTTGAACCGGTCCTGGGCGAATGGCACTTTCCCCCAAACGGTCCGTTAAGGCTACACGGGGGGAATCTCTGCCCTTTGCCGTGCCGCCGCAGGTGCTGCTGCAGCTTTGCTCGCTGCAGCGGGAGGCTCTGGCGTTCCGGGGCGACAAGTCCGAGCGGGGCTATGCGCTGCTCGACGAACTGCTCACCAAGCAGCTGCTGTCGCTCGACGCCGTGGACACGGCCGGCTGGGCGCACGGCCGGGAGGCACGGCGGCACGCCGTGCGCACCGCGCAGAGCATCCTCGCCTACCTGGACGCCAAGTCGGACGACCCTGAGGACTAATCGGCGACGACGATGAAGGCGACGATGACGACGACGATGACAACAACGGGCGATGATGCCCATGCGCACGCATTTCCGAATGCACGTGCTCCCACGCATGCGTTCATGCTCATACTTTTGCGCGCGCGAGTGCGTGCGTACACGTACGCACCCAATCGCACGTGCACGGACGCGTGCGTGCATGCGAACACTCTCGCGTGCATTCCCCGTACACTTGTCCACGTTCGCTCGCACCGTTCACGCACTCACGCTGTCGTTCTGATATTTTATTTGCCTAGGTTATGATTGATTTATTATACAAAATCTCAAAAGCCAGCCTCATTGTCCAGGTTATTTGCTTTATCGCAACGCCACAGATGGCTTTGACACCGTTCCGCCAAGCACACACGCACACGCACAGATATATATTTTCATGCAAACAAGTCTCTTAATTAAAAATGCCAGTCATCAAATATGTAACTGATACTCGGTCCAAAGAATACTTAACACCGTTACTGCAAGTGAAAACTAAAATAAATGAATCAATGGCTTAACTCAGAATTTAGGTTAATCAGGTATCACCCAGTGCGCATCTTGATGACTATGATAAGCCAAACAATGCAACAAAGGCAATCGACTGCCACCACAGATAACCGTGACGGGATCGTTCAGAGCGTCACGATTTCCGGCACTGTATTGGGTTGTGACCTCTGGATCTACCGTCACGGTGACGGGATGTTGACTACCTCGCCTGGTGTACAGGAGGTTCGTAGGTTCGATCCAGACCCTGACGTCTGCTGTATATTTGGAGTTTGTCTCTATCCCCGTGGTCAGGTCGCGTGGATTTTTCTCCGGGTCCTCTGGTTTGCCCCTATACATTTATAATAAACATCACACGTTTAGAGTATTCGGCTGCTATACGTTTCCACGTGATAAGCCCCTTTGTTGGGCTAATCATTGGTGGCAAGGTCGCTTCTAAAAAAGAGCTCAGTGGGCCTTACCCAGTAAAATAAAATAAAAATAATTGCTTCTAGTTTGTATAGAAGGCAACACGGACGTCTATAAGAGGAGTCTTCCGTGGCTGGTCAATGTGAAGTCGATGGACAAGCCTTCTGCTTATTTTGATTGAGACAATTAGCGCACACATCCCTCGTGCGTACTCACCCGCTCGCTCACTCGCCCGTCCGCCTGCTCGCTCACGCGCCCATCCGCCTGTTCACCAAGTCGCCCGCTCACATGCTTGCTCACCCGCTCGCTCACTCGCTCAATCGCCCGCTCACCCGCAAGCTCACCCCCCCGCTCATCCGCTCGCCCATCCGCTCGCTCATCCGCTTGCTCAATCGCTCGTTCACCCTTGAGCTCACTCGCCTGCTCACTCACCTGCGCCGCCAACTTATCTTCCCACCCACTCATCTTCCCACCCACTCATCTACCAACCCACTGTAGCACCCACCTGTTAATTCGTGCACTCGCTCACCGATCCACTCACGCGTGCACGCCTCCACGCACATGCTTTACGATACGCACACACAACTAGCCTTGCTGGCTTATAATTATATCATAATTACACACATGTACACATACACTCCTGTACATGCTCATGCAATCATACAGATACACGCACACTCATGTATGCACATGTTTGTACTCACGCTTAATAAACTTATATCCAGACACAGACTCGAATACACGCATATACACACTTAAATACACACATACACTCAAATACACATACAAATATACAGTACTCATATACACACGTACACTTATGGAGACATACATTCACTACATATAACAAACACAAATATTGCCCATGTAGCTCGCACAGCCTGTTGGGGCAAGTGCTGTTTGTGAGCACTTATGAAGGCCAACAAGGCACAAGAATGGTTGGTGTGGCCAGCACCACGCCCGACTGACCTTGCCTCCCCAGTGCTGATGTTTACACACTGCACCAGGTACTCATTTAAGGCTGAGTCGACCTAGGGGAGGCCCACGGGCCGGTACAGATATGACGGTCAAAAGCGGTATGGAAACTCGGGATCGCCGGGTTCGTCGCGCAGCGCGATAACCACTTTGCCACCGCTCCGCCCTACGTACAAAATTCACGCACACTCTTAAACGCATGGATGTGACAACGATACACACCCACTAACGTACACTCGTGTACACTATACTCGTAACACGTACATTTTTTTGTTTTACAGCCAATGGGGTTCACAACTGATTTTTCTGGTTCGTATCTAATTACCAAATCTGGTTGTCTGGATTGCGCTTCGTCTCACCAGTGGGTTGAGCTGACGTTGGGAACAATCGGCACGTGATTGCTCAACACGAGCGCACGTGTTGAGCAATCCGTTTGGCTGTGTCGGGTGGTGGAGGGTTCCGTAACGACACGAATTTTGGTCAGATTTATTTTGGTGATGGTGCGTTGGCAGTGGCTGCACGAGCACAGGTTACAACAGCGGTCGACACATTCGTCAATAAACACTGCGGCCTTAAAAAGACAAAAAAAATTAGAAAATGGGCGATGTTTCGGGCAATGGCCCTTCATCACAGCGCATAGGCCAGGTTGGTCAGATCATTACGTGGCCGAACCAAAATACCAATTATGAATTACAGATATAAATTACCCTCCCCCCTCCGGTATAGCCTGTAACAGACGATCGGGGCAAGTGCTGTGAGCGAGCACCTCTGGAGGTCGACGCTGCATATGACCGGAGGTGGGTGACCAGCACCACGCGCGGCCGCCTTTGTCTCCCCAGTGGCGATGTATTGACACGCAGCACCGGGTACTCATTTGAGGCCGAGTCGACCCCGGGGAAGGCCCCAGGACCGGTTCGGGTCATCGCCACGGTTGCCGGCTGCGAGCGGCGGGGAATCGATTTCGGCTCGCCCGGGCGTTCGTGGCGGGGCGCGCCGACCGTTGTGCCACCGCTCCCCGCAACGGTGAATTACCGCACGGGTCGCACAGCATCCGCTGTCCAGCACGTGGGAAAATGCACGGCGGGGCCAGGGGTGGAATGAGGACTCCCCCCCCCCCCCCCCCCCCCCCCCAACAAAACTGACCGTCAAACTGGAAATGCCCGCGTGTGGATAACTGTTAGCCCGTGGCTCTCTTGTCTCTTATCGCATTTCTCCCTGCAAGGACGTTAAGCGCTATTTAAAGCGTACGGGGAGTGGGGCGGGCGAGCAGCTTGTTTGTAGTGCCTGGCCTGCGCCCCGCGCTGCTTCAGAGGCAGACACAACCACAAAATGCGCAACGGCTCGCGCGTGTATCTCGCGCGTTCGCGTTTTTCCCAGGCTGGGTCGGCCGCGTACACGAATATTCGGCAAATGTTTGTCACTCCCAGGGAAAACGGAATATTGTCTCCGACCAGCGAACGCTGTTAATTTGTTTCCTTGCTTTAGAGTTGATACTGTTCGGGTTAGGAGTTGAGGGTTAGGGTGTCATTTTAAGTATTTGATGTAGGGTTAGGTGTTAGATATTTGGGTGTAGAAGGTTGAGTTAGGGGTTCGGAGTTGGGGTAAGAGTTCAGGGCATACTGTTAGGGTTTGGCGGCTTATGTTTGGGGTCAAAGTTCAGAGGTTATGGCTTAGAGAGTAAGAGGTTTAGGCTTATGGGTTAATGTTCGGGCTTTGAGGTTTTAGGGCGTGTTAGAGTTATAGGATAAGGGTTAAAGAGGCGAGCGATCGGGATGAGGTTCGAGGGTAGGTTGGGTACAGTGTTGGTTCAGGCAGAGTTGCGACCAACAACCGACGTTATGGAACGCGATAACTTTACACTGAAAGCAAACTGAGCAACTGCTTGACCAGCGAGTTTGGAACGTGGCCTTAAAAGGAAACGAGTCTGTTCAAAAGTCCGTGGGTTCTAAGTCAGAGGTTGGGGCTTAGCAAGTCTCCTCCATTCAGAACAAAAGCATTAAATGTTATTGTCTGGTGTGAATATTGATACAATAGCATTGTTGGGTGTCTCAATAGGGGCGGGTGGGGGGGGTGCTTGTTCGCATCATCCCCCACACCTCCCCTACACTCCCCCCCCCCACCATGGATTTGGACTTCTGTGTAAAGAATGGCCCCGATGAATTCCATGCTACTTGCACATAGCGCTTTAATCGGCAACGCCACGACAGACAAACCATCGCACTGATGGGGAATGCACGGCAGCGCTTTGTGCTTGGCTGTTGGTGAGAAAGACCGTTTCTTTTTTGGCAAATATACAAGTTGGATGATGATGGTCCTGCGTTGGCAGGGATGCACAGCAACAACAACAACAACACACTCAACAACACATTCGTCAATGACACTTGCATCAAAAGGAACTTTTTTATATATATATAAAACAGGTGACGTCTATTGGGCGATGGCCCGTGTGCCATGAAGAAGGCCTATTGCCCGGAACGTTCCTTCGTTCGTTTCTCAGCCCGCTTGCCCTGGCGAGGGTCGCGGCGGCAGCGTCCTGGGTAGTGGCGGTCCACACCTCCCTCTCCCTGGCCACAGACTCCAGCACTACTACACTATAAACTACTATGCATTAATATACACTACTACACTATACACTACTATACATTAATATACACTACTATACACTATACACTACTATACACTACTACACTATACACTAATATACATTAATATACACTACTATACACTATACACTATTATACTATACACTACTACACTATACACTACTATACTATACACCACTATACACTACTATACTATGCACTACTACACTATACACTACTATACTATACACTACTACACTATACACCATACACTACTACACTATACACTACTATACATTAATATACACTACTATACACTATACACTACTATACTATACACTACTACACTATACACTACTACACTATACACTACTACACTATACACTACTACACTATACACTACTATACATAAATATACACTACTATACACTATACACTACTATACTATACACTACTACACTATACACTACTATACACTACCTACACTATACACTACTATACTATACACCACTATACACTGCTATACACTACTACACTATACACTACTATACACTACTACACTATACACTACTACACTATACACTCCTGCACTACTACACTATACACTCCTACACTATACACTACTGCACTATACACTACTATACACTCCTGCACTACTATACACTACTACACTATACACTCCTACATTATACACTACTGCACTACTATACACTACTACACTATACACTACTATACAATACTACACTATACACTACTACACTATACACTTTTATACACTATACAATACTACACTATACACTACTATACAATATACACTATGACACTATACAGAACTATACACTGCTATACACTACTATACACTGCACTACTATACTATACTATACGCTACACTATACACTACACTGCTTTACACTACACTACACACACTCTAACTCTTCCTGGGGTAATTCCCAGGCTTTCCCAGGCCAGCCGAGCGACATAGACCCACCGCTAGCGTGTCTTGGGCCGGCCCCGGGGTCTTCTATATATATTTAACATTTTGATGGCTGTTTTCATGACCAATGTGTTGAGGTTATGTAAGCAACAACATTTTTTTTGAAGATCGTAAACTCACTCGATTTGCACGAACACTTTTTGGATCGGCGTGAGCAGAGGTTTATGATTTCGTCTTTTGAAAGTGAGGGGTCAGCGGATTTGGCGACGGCCAAGCGAAGGCGACGGGGAGCGGCGAAGGATCAGGAGCGCTGCGGGCGTCCGAGTACGTCCGATCGAGGAGGTGGAGCGATGGAATTGGCGCGCATGCGGCTGTCGCCCCGGGGTTCAGCCGTCGGAGGCGTCGCAAGGTCGTGAGAGCGGACCGGTCGCGGCTGATAATCTTAACAAATAAGTACGCTCTGCACGCCGATGCACCCAAATCAGTTGAATGCACACGTAGGCTTTCGCGACCAATACAGGGTGTTTTAAAAAGATGGACCCGATTTGAAATCGCTATATCTCTGCAACCACGAACCGCCCATGAATGAAACTTCCCACTTGAACGGGTGGGGCACAGAGTTTCAAATGATTACCGCTAGATGCCTCTCCCAGCGCACAAACAGCCCCTAGCCTCAGTCACTCTCTAGATGGTGACCCCAGCGCACAAACAGGCCCTAGCCTCAGTCATTCGCAAGACGGTGACCCCACCGCAACACAAGGGGCGTTTTGCGTTCTGCGGTTCAGCAAGACTGAATCCGTAATTGCGGTGCAGCGTGCGTTTCAACGGCGTTTTGGCATTGATCCGCCAATGTCAAAAGACCGTGGTGTTTTTGTGCCACCATTAGCGACTAATCTGGATGACCTCAAAAACAGAATTACGGCGGCGGTGACTTCAGTGGAAGAAGACACTTTGAGAGGCGTTTGGGACGAATTCAACTATCGTCTCGATGTTCGTACAGCCGTTGGAGGGCACATCGAGTATTTATAAAACGGTGTAAAACTTGATAACTCATCATACCGTGTGTAATTTTTTGCGTGTAATTGTAACATGTTGCCATCGTGAAATATACTGCTTTGAAATCGGGTCCATCTTTTTTAAAACACCCTCTACTGTCCATCGTAGAGAGTTTTTTTTTGTTGGGGTTGGATTGCGTACGTATAAATGTGTCGCCTTGTTTACGATTCAATTCAGGATTGATATATAAAGCGCGCTTTGCACGGCAAACCTCGCTAATCGGATGCGTCGGGTGGTGGCGGGGTTTTCGCGACGCGCGAATTTACGCGATCTAACCCCAAGGACCTCTCGCCATGCTCTCCGAGCTTCCACGGACACGCGCGCGCGCGCGCGCTCGCGCGCACCAGCGTGGTGGAAGCGCGGTCGCGAGACAAGTCGCGCCGCGTGGCCCGCGAGGCGTGCGCTAGAGCCTCCTCATCCAGCAGTGGGACCGACAAAAAAAAGCCCCCGCTCTCATGCACGCGTGCAGCTGCTTTTGGGGCTTACGTCTTCCTGCAGGGTTTCCTCGCCACTCTCAACCATTCCATCAAATTTCACCCCCCCACCCACTCCCAGTCCTGTTATATTCACTTGCCCTGCTGTTCTCTGCCATTGGAAGATGCTTACGCTGCTCCTCGGCCGATGCTGATATTGATGCATTTGCACCTTCGAATTTCGAATGTATAACGCGGTGGAGGAGGCGTGGGGGGGGGGTCGTGGAGTTGGGTGGTGTGGGACTGTGTGGGTTGAGCACCTGCAAAGAATGTTGGCTCGTGGGCGCGCGAATTCTGGGCGAAACGAGAGAGTATTGCGTTGGTTTTGCTCGTTTCCAATTTGTGTTGGAATGAGGGCTGCAATCGTACACGCTGCCATCTGTTGGTCGTGTGACAGATTTGTCTCGTGTGTTTTTTGGGGAGCGGGGTGGGGCGGTGTTAAGAGTGGATGGAGTGGAGTTGGAGGGGGGTGACTGAACACGTGGACACAACGCACAATCGTTTCCTGCCGCCCCCCACCCACCACAATCATAGCACAGGTGGCAGTCTAGTAAACGCGCAACGTTGGGTCAACGTTGGTTGACGTTTTTGCAATGTCGGGCCAACGTTGGTTGACGTTGGGACAACGTTTCTTGACTTTGGGCCAACGTTGGTTGACCTTGGGCCAACGATGGTCGACGTTGGGCCAATCAATGTTGCGACTTTACTGGAATTTACCGACATTAAACAGAAACGAATCGACCATTATGATCGCACGATCTACTCGTCGAACCGAGTTGCGCGCAAACGCTCACCATGTTGTGAAGCCACTTGAACCAATTTCGCACCCCGAGATTGCCGATCCTGTGGCGAGCGAATCGGCTGGGACCTGTCGCGGATCCCGGGCCAGATGTCGCAAGCGAAGCGGCAGGGTTGGAGGCCTCCGGGATAGGTGCTCGGTTGCGAGACACCATTGTGTGTGTCGGGAAGCGACAAACAACAGCGCCACGAGACGGGAGGAGATGGCGAAGATGATGATGTAGACGCAGCAATCGAGAAACGACGAAAAAAGTAGTCGGTGATCAAAAGGAAATTCAGAC